TGGAAGGGAAACTGATGTGATACAGCAATTTGTATACGGGGTAAAAGGGGGAGTTCATAATCCACGTGAATCAAACCGTGTAATATGATGTATTAAGAACTATGTAATGTTATGAACGACCAATAAAAAAAAAAAGGCTTCATTACCTCTTAACATCATGTTATCAGTGTATTAGGAACAAAGCCACAACATGAGTTTGGGTGGGAACAAACCACAGTAGTTTTGTTCTGTACTTTCTAAGAAAAAAAATTTAATTACTAAATTGAATTTGTTTTCCCAGGGGCACCAGGAAATAAGCAAGTTATAATTTTTGTTGACGACTTAAATATGCCTAGACTGGATCGCTATGGCTCTCAGCCTCCCATTGAATTACTTCGCCAGTATCAAGATTTTGGTGGATTTTATGACAGAAACAAACTCTTTTGGAAAGATATACAGGTTACTTTAGGTTTTAAATCATTACTTAATGTGTTCAAATTTAAATGGCAAGGAAATATGTGGTACATTAGTTTTATATAATTGCCATAACAAACCACATAATTTTCTCATAATTCTGAAGACTGGAAGTCCAAAGTCAAGGTATCAGCAGGATCAATTTCTTCTGAAACCTCCATCCTTAACTAGTAGATGGCCACTTCCCCCTGTGTCTTTCCATGGGTATATTAATTTGCTTTCTGTTGCTTATAACAATACCACAGATTGGGTAAGTTCTAAAGAAAAGAGGTTTATTTTGGCTTATGGCTCTGATTCAGAAGTAAGGGGCCATATCTAGTGATGGCCTTCTTAATGGCAGAGTCCTGGGAGAGTGCAGGGCATTGCTTTAGCATGACATAGGGAATACATGTGTGTGTGTCATCTCTCTCCCCCCTCTTCTTATAAAGCCACAAATATTTAATCATGTGGGCTCCACCCTTTGACATTATCTGCTTCTAATTACCTCCCAAAAGGCCCACATCTAAACATCATAGTTAGATTGAATTTCTGCCCTCTTAATTCCTTATAGTGGGGGAAAACTTCCAACATGAGTTTTGGTAGAAAAAGATGATATTCAAACCATTTCATTTCTTGTCTGGCCCCTGAATCTCAAGTCCTTCTTATATACATCATTCTAATAATTCATTCCACCCCAAAAACCCCAGAACCTTAACTCATTCCAGCATTAATCACAAGCCCAAATTCTCATCTGAGATTCAATACAAACTGCTTCCAGCTGTGAGTCTGTAAAACCAAAGTTGTCTACAAAGGTGGAATAGGCACACAATGTACATTTCCATTCTGAAAGAAAGGAGTAATCAGCCCAAAGCAAGTCTGAAACCTAGCCAGGGCTGGCATTAAATCTTACTGCTTCAATTCTGGCATCCTGTGTATACCATGGGGCTGCAAAGCCTCAGGAAGCCCCAGCCACACAATTTGCTGGTTTTGTCCCACATAGTTGCTTTCTTGGGCTGAAAATTGATGGCCACAGCTTACCTAAGCTGGTATTGCACACTGCTCGTAGATATTCACTTCCTGGTGTCTCAGCTGAGGCTCCACTCCCATGGCTTCGTTAAGCATTGCTCCACTGGCAACTCTCTGTGGTGGCTCCCCTCACAGCAAACTTTTGCCTGGCTTCCCTGACTTTCTTTGACATCTTGGTGGAAGCTGCCATGACCTCATCACTCTTTCATTCTGTGCATAAGCACTGCGTGAATGCTGCCAAGGTCTGCCATGTTTTAAGCAGTGTCTGGGCTTACTTGAACCAACAGTCTCTGTGAGGTGCTTTTCTGGAAAACAAGGAACATAATCCTGTAGAGTCCCTGAGCAGTCCATGAATAGTACCCCCGGGGCTCCTACTTCAATGAAGTCTAGAAAGCTTCTGGGCCTATGATGGGAGAGGCAGCCCTATAGACTTCTGAGATGTTTTCTAGGCCTTTTTCTCATCTCTTAACAACTGATATCCCTGCTAATCTTAGCAAATGTTTTCTCATCCACATTTTTTCAGATTTTTTTTCTTTACTCCTTCCCTGATCTAGCTGCAAATTTTCAGATCTTTCCATTGTTTCATTTTGCCCTTCAATTGCTCTAAAAACAGCCTTAAATAGTCCTTCTATATATTACTTAAAATATTCTCCACCAGTTTTTCATCATTCTTAAATTTGGCCTGCCATAAAACTCTGGGACATAGACATAGTTCAGCCAAATTTTTTGCAATGATGACTTTTACTCAGATTTTCAATAGGATCATCATTTTCATCTGAGACTATTTCCCTGTCTCCTCATTTCTTGAGCCCTCACAAGAATCTCCATTTACAGAACTCTGAGTTTTTCTACTCAACTTCTCCAACTTTTCTACCTCTACTCATTATTCAATCCCAAAGCTGATTGCACATTTTCAGATATTCATTATTGGCAGCAGTCTCACTTCTTGGTACTTAATAATTTTCAGTGTTTGGCCATTTTATGTTGCTAATAACACTATAACACTGATAGTAAGTTATAAATCAAAATAATTAGTTTGGGCTTATGATTTGGGTCCCTAATTGAGTGGTTTCCTCTGTGATAGCTTCTTGCTTCAGAGTACTGGGCAGTGCAAAGCATCACATAACAAGACACTGAGAACATGTGTGTGTATCTTCTTGCCTCTCTCCCTGTTCTTATAAAGCCACCAGTATTCAAAAGGGAAGGTTTCACCCTGATGATTTTATCGAATCTTCATCATCCCCCAATGTCTTACCCTAAATACCATAATTGTATTAAGTTTCCATTCTCTTAATACCTCAAAATGGGGATTAAACCCCAACATGAGTTATGGGTAACAATGGACTTCCCTCTGTGTTCAAATCTCTTCTTATAAGAACACCAATTATTTGGAGTAGGGCTCATCCTAATTACATCATTTTATCTTCATCATCTTTGTGTACCCTATCTCTAAATATGGTCACATTCTAAGGTACTGAGAATTAGGATTTCAGCATATTATTTGGGGCTAGAAGACATAATTCAGCCTATAACAAGGCCTTGGTATTTCTTAAATGTGTAATGCAATTCATTCAATTTATATTGAGTTCTTGCCATGGTTGAGTCGGGAAATTCATAGGCAAGTAAGACAGTCCTCACCCCCAAGAGAATTCAGCTTTGGAAAATGGGCAGATATTTACAGTTCAGGGCAAAAGTCATGGGAGAGACAGAGGTTTGGATTGAGGATGAGAGAAGCCTTCCCAAAAGAGGAGATCTTGGAGTTGGGTTTTATAGTCAGAGCAGGTCAGAGCGAAGAAAGGCATCATTTTATATCTCAGAAGCAGGGAATGTGGGATATCATAGTGGTATGAAATGTAGCCCCAAAGCAGCAGGAGATACAGAAGTCACATCCCAGAAGGCTCTGGACCCATGATGAGGAATATAGATTTGTCCTGTATATGATAGGGAGTCTTGAGAAAAATGATATAGGGAAGGGATGGGCTAGAGAGGAAGTAAGACCAGAGGAACTACAGTACTAATAGCAGAAGAGATGAGGGTCAGTCCTCAATGTGATGATGAAGTGTACAACCAGCAGGTTCTAGGAGGAAGATCAGCAGGTCTCCTGGGGTGTGGACTCAGAGGGAGAAAGGCAGCTTAGGTTGACTGCCTTTCTGTTCTGGAAAGTGGGCATGTCTAGAGTGACTTGCATTTTACCCACAAAAGCAAATTATACCAAGCACTGTTCTCAGTGGCTCCCATTTAATCCTCCCAGCATCCTTATAAGATAGATTATTAAGATAGTATAATAGAGTTATTCACCCAAGAGGAAGGAAGACACAGCCCAAATTCTAGAATTTTCCTCTAACATATAGGCTATTCATTATACATATTTCTATAATCACTTATGTCTTTTCATCTCCATGGCCATTATCTAAAGACAAGCCCAAGGGATATTGGGAGATTTAAACTGGCACAGTTGCTGGTCTTCACATACTTATACTCTGTTCCCCAGTCTGCAGACTTCCCAAATAACCTTTTCAAAATGCAGCTCTGCTACTGCCAATTCCTTGTTTGATCTTAAAAACCTATTTAACAATCCAGGACTTTGGGTTTTATTTTCATACATGAAATGAGAATAAGAACAGTGACCTCCTGAGGTGGCCATGAGGATTAAGTCATTTAATGTGTACAAAAATTTAATGCAATTCTGGCTCATGGCAGGTCCTCAGAAAATTCTGGTTCTTTGTCTGCTATTGGGAAGGGCATATCTCATCTCTTTCTGTGGCTGGGTGACCCAAGTGAATTTCTCTCTCTGTAGGATGTAACAATCGTATCAGCATGTGCACCTCCAGGAGGTGGTCGAAATCCTGTGACCCCTCGTTTCATCCGACACTTCAGCATGCTCTGCCTCCCGATGCCCTCAGAGCACAGTCTGAAACATATTTTTTATGTGAGTATGAATTTAAACTTAGACAAGAGGAGAAAAATAAAACATGTCCTTAGGCTCCCACAAAGTGACCTACCATATTTCTAGGGAGCCCATATTTCTAGGGACCTTTTTTTGAGCAAGAACTAGTAGCTATGGACACCTGGAGAATAGTTAGAAGATGTTTGAATCTCTACCTTCTGTGTATACATCCTCAGAGATAAGTTTTAGGAATGCAAAATATTGTCCAAACATGATTTCTACCCATAAGGAAGGTTGTATCTTAGGCTTCTGCCCCTTAGCACTCTACACAGTTAGCAGGTCTGCCTACTGGCTAGCCCTCACTTGTATGCACATCTCAGACCTTACCTTCAGGTATATAAGAGTCCATTTGCATCAAATGCAGCACATGACACCCTAGAATGCTAGGGTGGTCAAGCTCAACACACTAAGAACTCATCACTTCTCCCACTGCCACTACTAACAATAACCCATATTCCTGAGTGGAAACCAGTACTATTTTCCCTATAGGGTTACTTTCTTGTCTTTTAAATGGAGAAAATAATGGTACCTAACCTGCAAGTGTTCAACAAAAATGTTCAATAAACATGAAATATTATATTGAACAGAATGATGAGAGAACATAAAGCAGCATGACTACAGCGTGCCATAACCAACAAGCCAAGGGCCTAGAGAAGATAGATTGTAAGCTGGGTCTTGGAGAAAGATGGGAATTATCAAGGAGGAAGAGATCCCAGGAACAGATGGTACTTAAGTGAATGCAATCACAGAAGCAGGAAACGGAAAATGGGCATGCAGGTCAAATAAGACAGTTTAGGTGACTAGTCTGGAGAAACTGACTTTGTCAGTAATCGTTCAATGGTGCCGGAATTATGTGAGCCTCTACATTTACCAGCATAGGCCTCTTCTTCCAATGGAGGCTGTCTTAGAGGAGAAAAGGGAGAAGAGCCAGCAAGTATATTCTTTAGAACATGCAGATGATTTTTTAAATTCACACTGACATAGCTTACATTCATGGGAAATTATTTTTAATTTGAATTTAATTTTTATATTTGAATTAATTCCAGTAAGTTAAAAGCTAATGCCAAAGTGATAGGTAAAAGTTTTTGGAGAATCTTTAGACTATGAAAGGATGGGAACTTATTACTTGTAATTACCATATCTAAACAAATGTGCCACTCATGAAAACATCATCCAGCAAGACCATCACAGCTGAAAACCGACTGGGATGAAGCTGCTGTTTCTCCCTGTGACTTACAGTCTTATAATTAAAACTCATACTGGTGTGGGTAGAAATAGAAAGGCAGTAAAACAGAGATTCTGGGAAATACTGGCAGGGACTGGATTTAGATAGGACACATACTTCCCTCTTTACCAAAGCAAGATATTTTACTTGTAGAAAAAAGGGACTTGCTATAGGCCCATGGATCTCAAACTTTAATCACAATCTGTCTAAGTTAGACCCAAGAGTTCATAGCCATCGCTCCCTATCCTTTGTCATTGAATGACAGTAGAAGGACCTGGGATTAGCCAAGAACTTAAGAACAGGACAATAAATAAGTTAAATTTATTAGCAACATATATAATAAAAATTGATTTATTTCTGTATAAAAGAGGTCTATGGGTCTAAATAGTATATACATATGCTATATATAAAAGTTTATAATTTGTAATGTAATATATAATGTTTTAATTGCCTATTATTTTTAAGCAATGAGATTAAAGTGCTTTCTTTAATTCTCTTTTGCAAGTTTGTTGAATGCTGCATATATGCAGGGGGCATATCACTAATGATAGGTCAAGATTTGCACAGATTTTGAGCCACATTCACATACACTCGAGTGTCTATTTATTGGAAGTTTATATGCTAGAATAAGTGTCCCTAGATATTATAAGGGCAAACTAAGCAATACACAAGTTAAATTGATGAAATTTACACTAAATTAAATGTCATTTCTAGTTTAGAAAGATTTAACAGTGGAATATCAGTCAGTTTTAAGTCACTATGACCAAAATACCTGACCAGAATAACTTAGAGGAGGAAAAGTTTATTTTGGTTCATAATTCCAGAGGTTTCAGTCCATTGATAGCAGACTCCATTTCTGTGGGCCTGGGGTAATGCAGAAAATGATAGACAAAGGGAAAAGTTGCTCAGCTTCTGGCAACCCAGAAGCAGAGAGAAAGTGAGGTGCCAGACAAAATATAAACCCCCAAAGGCATGCCTGTAGTGACGTACTTCCTCTAGCCATACCCTACCTCTTTACAGTTACTACCCAGTATAGTGATATTATTAATCCATCAAACAGATTAATCCACTGATTGGGTTGTTACAGCTCTCGTAATCTAATCATTTCATCTCTGATCATTGCTACATTGTCTCCTAAGCTTTGGCAGACACCTTATATTCAAACCATAACAAGCATTTTAAAACAAATTCATAACAAGTAATTGAAAACTATGATCAGTTCTATAAAATACTAATAATATCCTCATACCAAAGCTTCTTTCCCCAACTGTGAGAACTATGGCTTTATTTTATGTGCATATCCTTAATAGGAGCTCTACAAAACTGTCAAGCAAGTCGTGTAAACCACAAATAGAATACCAAGATATGGTTTTCAATAACTTCTATAGTAACCTGCTACTTTTAATTTATGAATACCAGTTTAATAGCTAGAAGTTCACTCATTAAAAATGTTTGTTGAGCACTTATCATGTGTCAGATGGCAGTGTATTATTTTGAACAAAACAGATATCATGTCTGTCCTCATGGTTCTTCCATCATGGAGAAAGATAATAAAAAAATGAATGAAATATACAGATAAATATAGTTACTAATATATATGTTAAAAATGTGTGATAGAGAACAGATAGGCTGAAACTTTTCTCATATTTGTAATGTAAATTTTAATTGTATATATACATATATTCCAATTTGTCTATTCTCCATTACACACACACAGCTGCATATTAACACCAAATTTAAAGATTGAGTTTGGGATTCTTCTACTCAAAACACTGGCCATGTGGAAAATGGTAAACTCATTTGGGATTCACAAAGGAAATACCTCAAAAAGACAGATAGTCCTTTAAAACTACTGAAACTAATATTCAGCAAGAAACACTGAACTTTGGTTTATTTTTAACTATCTCATATATGAGACCCAAATATGAAATCATAAGAAATAATTCATAACCATTAATCTACATTCTGAAAGCTTCTCTTGTGAGTAACTTCAAGATTAATGGTGATGAAAATTTATCTATTTAAAACCTATAATGGCTTTCCTGAGCAACTGTGGGTTAGAGACTAGTTAGGCTTTCATACTGTGGCAATTTATGTGTGAGAAATTCAGAGAGACTGATAGGAGAACTTATTTTAAATTGGGTGGTCAGGGAACGCCTCTCTGAAGAGATGACATGGAACCAAAAATATGAAGGTTGAGAAAGCACCTGCAAGAGAGAGCCATGTGGGAGTGGGTATTGGGAGGGAGGTACAGCAAGTGTGGAAACCTAAAGGAGGAAGGAGTATGGGCTGTTAAGGCCAGTGAGCAATAGGGACAGAGGAGTAAAATAGGGACGTTGGGGGATAGTGAACATCAGAAGATGCTATTTGTATCATTAAAAAGAGAGGAAAGTAGAAGTGAAGAGGCCAATGAATGAAAGGAGAAGGAAAGGAGTCCAGATGGAAGAGCAAAAGGTACAATGGGGGTGGTGTCATACAAAACCGAAGGACACAGATTCAAGAAATGAATTCAAGATTGTCAGAGGTAGAATCAGGGAGGTTTCAAAATGGACTTCCAAGCTCCTGATCTGAGTGAACCAGGGCAAGGCCTCTTACTGAAGGAGGGATGAGAGGCAGGGGAGTCTATACAAGTCACACTTTAAATACACATGAAAATGAAACCTATGGGCTTCCCGGTCATTCTCCCATAAAAATGAGAGAGAAGACAGTTCATTTCCAGATGAGTTTATTTCTTCAGTGAAGACCCTCTGGACTCACAGTGAGCAGAAGTCTAAATTACCTGAGAGTAGGGTCATGGTACATTCAAAAAGATTTTTATGAATGTTGCTCAAGCAGCCCAGTCACAGAAGACAAAAATGGGCTCCTTCTTGGGATCAAATTCTGAAATGATGGAAGAGCTTTGACATTCACATGTCTTTGTGTTAGAATTTGGTTTTCTAGTTATTGTTAGAAAACAGGATCATATCTAGAGTAATTTGAAAATAAATATTTGATTTAAAAAACGTAACCCTCTCATGTTTCTGGTTCTAGGCCATCTTAAATGGCTTCCTACTTGACTTTCCACAAGCTGTAAAGCAAACCGCATCAAGCATCGTAGAAGCTTCAGTTGAGATTTATAACAGAATGAGTATTGATCTCCTGCCAACACCAGCAAAGTCCCACTATGTCTTTAATTTGAGGGATTTATCCAAATGTGTGCAAGGTAGTGTATTAAACCCTCACTCTCTGATTTGCACCCTCCCTTCATGTTCTTTGGCGTAAACTCTCTTATTAAAATTGTGTGTACCCAAGTGTCTGTGACTCACCTAGAAATCCCATAGCATGTCCTCATACAGGTCACCCTTCACCCCCACCCCAGGCTGAAAACTTTATAGCTTTTTCAAACCACCAATATCTCTCCCATTTCTCACTCCCAACTCATGATCTTTTACTGAAAAAAAAATGGAAACAATCAGACCAGAGCTGCCTCATCTTCCAAATCTCTCAGACAACCTGCATCTTCCTTCCCTGTGCTGAGCTGTCCCCTGTTCGTATCAGGTGCCACCCTCTGACACTGAATCTTATCCCCTCTTGCAGGATTTTGCTCTTATAAATTTCTTATCTATTGGGTCATCCCTAACAATATTGCAAAAAACCCTGCTGTCATACTTCTTATCTTAAAAATTTAATTTTCCTTAGGCTCCATTTATCCCTGATATCATCCCTTTATTTATTTTCTCCTTTTAGAAAGACTCCTCAAAAAACGGTCTCACTTCACTATCCCACTTACTTCCCTCTAGGATAACATAACTTGTTTTCTTCCTCCTCCCCTAAAAATCTTCCCCTCTATATTAGCAGTTTTATCCAGGGGTTTACAAACCCATTTTTTCCCCAGAAAATTGTAGAATGTTGCTTTGTTTCCTTGGTGAACTTCTTCAAACTCGCTTTCTGGTCCTCAGACGTTGTCTAATCTAGTCATTTATTTATTGGCCTCCCTCATTGCCTTTCTATTTCTGTTTTTTAGATAACTTCTGAGCTTCAAAATTTAGGGCTCATTTTATCTCCAGTGATCGTACATCAAAGTATCTAGAAATTTCCAATTTTTAATATTTTTCTGCTTATTCTCATTAAAATGTCCTAGAAATTCCCCTATTTCTATAAATATTAACTGAAAATTATTAAAACTTTAAGCACTTCAAGAAATATACATGTCAAACACACACAAACTTTAGATGCAAAGAATTTAAATAAAGAATTATTATCTCCAGAAATTCCTTGTATTGCAAGGCAATGTGGACAGTACTTACTATGTTGTGTGTGGTACACACTCTGGTGCAACTGTGTACATGGTATATTGTGTCCTTGCCTCATCTGCACAGTGAGAGAAACCCTGTGTGAGGGGTCTCCATGCAGAAACATTTCCAGACAGTGCTATATATCACTGCTTTTGTGGTAACTAAGTGTACTCAGAGACATTTGAGTAGCAGCTATTAGCATTTGGTGAGAATTTAACATTGGGGAAGAAAGAGGGAAATGATGTTTTGAAAACAGTATAAACATCATGATAAAAGTTTGATAAGGTTGATAACATTGGCTTTTGGGGACTGGCTTATTTCACTTAGCATGATAGTCTCCAGATCCAACAATTTACTGACAAATGTTATAAATTCATTCTTCCTTGGCTGAGTAATACTCCATTGCATACATATATCACAATTTCTTTATCCATTCATCTATTGAAGGGCACCTAGGTTGGTTCCATAGCTTAACTATTGTGAATTGAGCTGCTATAAATATTGATGTGGCTGCATCACATAGTGAGCTGATTTTAAATGCTTTGGATGTATACCGAGCAATGGTATAGCCGAGTCCAATGGTGGCTCTATTTCAAGTTTTTTTGAGGAACCTCCATAATGCTTTCCAGTAGATTAGACAATGGGGAATGGAGGGTAGGGAGGAAGAATAGGAAAAGGAAATCTGACACAATTATCCTATGTACATATATGAAAACAACACAGTGAATCACACCATTATGTATATCTACAAGAATGGGATCCTAACTAGAATAAGATATATTCCATGCTTATATAATTATATCAAAATGAATTCTCCTGACATGTATAACTAAAAATAACCAATAAGTAAATTTTAAGAAGAAAGAAATATAACCTTTCTCATTTGGCGTACTGCCCACTGCCCACATGCTGAGTTAAAGAAAGAAATGGGGAAAAGGAAAAAAAATTTTTTGTCACATAACATATCCCAGTTTTGCTTCCAAGAAAATGAGTTCACCATTATTATATGTATGTATCCACTGGGGAAGCATTCATTTCTGCTAATGTTTGGGTAAATTTGGACTTCAGGATTTCCTAGTTAATTAAACTATTATTAGAGATTCCACAAATGTAGAATTTTCTCTTTTTTTTTCTTCTTACAAAACAGGTATCCTCCAGTGTGACTCAGGAACAATAAGAGAAGAAATGCAGATATTTAGACTCTTTTGCCATGAATGTCAAAGAGTCTTCCATGATCGTTTGATTAATAATGAAGATAAACACTATTTCTACGTTATTTTAACAGAAATGGCCAGTAAATATAAATCTTTATTTTGCTATTCTTTTTTCAGCAGAAAAGCAGTTTGATTTTTATAAATGAAAATTAAAATGGATTTATGAATTTTAGGTACTCATGAGAAAACATTATTTGATAACTCAAACATATGAAAATATTCTAAAATAATTTTACTGAAATTAAGGAAGGGCTACTCAGTAGAGACTTTTTAAGTATAGGAAGGAAAGTAAGAGAAACAGTATTTGTCTGATAAGATGCCAGGATAATTATAAAGTACTTCTTAATAAATATCCAATATTTATTATTTAGCAAAAGTTATTTTAAAAGTTATTATATATTCTTAATCTTAAATCTGGGAAATGATCAGACAAACTAAAGTGATATGGTGTTGATGTTGACATTCACACTAATTAAGACTTTCAGTTTAATTATATCTTTTTATTAAAATACTACATTCAAGGTTTTCATTATATCAAAATTGTTTTTGCTTTTTAACAGACAAACATTTTGGCATTGCAATAGGCCTGGAATATTTTTTGGTTAAGCCCATCATATTTGGAGATTTCATTAAGGTAAGTATATTGTATTGTCTTGAATACATTTGAAGGTTATAAAGCATTCACTATTTTTCAATTCAGATTCAATTTCATGTTCTGTAAGAAGTTTACATCTATGAAGATCAAATATCTAGGTCAAGTGTGGACAAATTATGGTCCCCATAAGTTAAATCCATCTGCTGCCTATTTCTGTAGACAGAGTTTTATCAGAACACAGTCATAGCTGCTTGTTTGTGTACACTTTATATGAATCCTTTTATACATTGTGAGCAAAGTGCAGTAGAAGCCACAGAAACCAGAAGACCTGTGACCCTTTAAAGAAAAAGTTTGCTGACCTTTGATCTACCTATGTTCTTTTGTTAATAGTTTGAATTAGAGAGTCATTAGATAATTTGATGTGGAGGAAAGTAGGGAAGCTTAGTCTCAACTGGAATCTTAGGAAACTTAATCAGTCTCAGAACTGGAATCCCTATTGAATTCTATGAAGCTGTTCAGCCCTACTTAAATGCTTTCAGTGATGGAAGGTAGGTTAGTTAACAGAATTGTCCTATTATTCCAGGGCCACCTGTTTAGTAGCAAAATTTCCCTTGTATTAACTTCCTTTATTTCCTTATAAGCTTCTCAAGTCTATCCCCCCATGTACAAATATTATTTATACTTGGTCCTGATTTTGGCCACTGGACCCTTCCTAAAATATATATTCCATCTAACCACCCCACCTTCCTTGACAGACAGCCCATTTTCTTTTACCAAGTTGATTCTTGATCAGGTAACACATTCCCAGTGTCTCTCCAAGAGGGCACTGTTCTCCCTAAGTCCCCAGCTTTCTATGTAGAGCTAGATACATAGTATGCTTCAATTAATACTGGTTCAACAGTGAACAAGCTCTTTATATTATGTGTCCATTACCTCATCACTCTGAACACCCCTCCAGATATCTGTCAAGAGTGTTATCACGTGAAAGATTAAAAAAAAAGATAATCTATTTGTGTGAAATACAACTTTTTAAATTTGTCATTAAAAATAAAATCCAAGGTTTGTTTCCAAAGATTGTATTTTCTATGTGTTTGTGGTGATGACATTATCTTGGGGGAATAAAGCAAAGGAAAAAGAAGAGATAGGCTCTTGCATTGCCTAGATATATTTTAGTAAAATCAAAAGTGTCCCCAGGGAAGTTGCTACAGCAGAGAAAAGACAGTCTCAATAATTTCAAAGAGGGACTCAGTTCCCTGTAATTGCATCTGATTTTTTATTCTCAACAATTTTTATAACTCTAGATGACTGCTGTGTAAAAACTACATGTAGTTGCCGCATGATTGTTTATAACGATAACAATCTGCCATGATTTTCAACTAGTTAGCTTTTCTAATGTCAGTAGACTGAAAGCAAAAGTATGGAACCAGAGCATGGGATTATATGAAAAATTAAATCCCTATTCTGTTTGTGTGTTTATTTTATTGCAAAGATTATTGAAATTGAAATGTACCACTTGAAGAAGTTAAATGAATTTCCCATATTATGCATGTCTTGTACTCTTACATATCAGAATTGATCCAACTTGATTTTTCTCCCATCTATCATCTTATAGTTTGGAGCAGATAGAGCTGATCGGATTTATGATGATATGCCTGATATGGAGAAAATTGCAAATGTTCTACAGGATTATCTTGATGATTATAACCTTATAAACCCCAAAGAAGTAAAGTTGGTGTTTTTCCAGGATGCCATAGAACATGTTTCAAGGTATAGTGCAATCAGGTGCCAAATTATGCATTGATTTTATTTCTTTTGCATTAAAAAAATAAAAATTAAGTTGTATAAAACTCTTTAAATTGCTAAGCATATACTAAAGTCTTTTAGCAATTAGCAATTTAGAAAGATATTCTAGAAGATATTTTAAATAAATATACCATGAAATTTCTGTGTAATTCCAGAGGTGATCACTTTTGATATATATATATATATATGTGTTGTGTGTGTGTGTGTGTGTGTGTGTGTGTGTTTGTTCTATCTAGTTACAAAAAGGACCTGAGGTGGTTTACAGATGCATATAAAAAATAACCAAAGCTAATTGCATGCATGCCTAAAGAAAGAAGGGGTTCAAGATTGTAGCAAAACAAATAGAACCCTGATCATAGATTGGACAATTCTTCATGTTAAAAATGACCCTTCCAGTACAAGCCAACTTTTATTTCCTATGACTTCTGGTATCAGTTTCATCCTATGGAGCAATAATAATAATGGTACTCAGTGTATATATAAAACCATGATATGGAGCATCTCATTTAACTTTCAAAACACCTCTCCTTAATTTGTTATTATAATCTCTTTGCAAATAAGACTTACAGAATGTTCCAGTGGTCTTTTTTATTGGTTCTTTTTAGTTATACATGACAATAGAATTCATTTTTGCATAATTATAAAAGCATGGAATATAATTTGTTTTAATTCAGTCCCCAGTATTTCACCTTTTCCTCCCACCCCCTGTTCCCTTCCCTCTACTTTACTGATCTTTATGCTATTTACTTATTGTTCTTTTTAAATTAGTGTCTTGTAGATGAACATGATGGTACGATTCACTGTGGTATATTCATATATGTACAAAAGAAAGATCTTTTTTTTCTTTTTTATCCCCTACCCCCCCTTCTTTTGAATTAGCTTCTGCATATCAGAGAAAACATCCAGTGGTCTTTTTAGCCACTCTAGCACTTAGCACTTTCATTTTATCATTATCTCTTGTGGTTACTGGTGAAGGAAAACAAATTTTGACAGTACAGTATACAACAGAGAATAATATTAGGTAAATTGTGGAAGGCTGCTAGCTAGCAAGCAATAGAACGGGCCCACTATTTTTCATAACAGCACCATCAAATGTTTGAAAATTATTTCTAAGTTCCTCTTAGCTTTATCTTCTCCAGGCAAAATTATCCTAGATCTTTCATATTGCCCATTAGAAAGTATTTCTAACCTTTAACATACTAAGTATTTTATAATTTTTCAATGTTCCACTTAAAAAGACAGTACCCACATTTAATATAATATTCTGTGGAATAAGCAATTCAAAATATGAGTGATAAAAAATAAATCGTATGGTAAAAATAAATATGAGTGAGAAGAGGATTTTCCATGATCTACTACTGAAGAATAATTTTAATGGCTTTGGTTTTTTTCCATGTCATCTACACTCCTTATTACGACTTATGATTCAGTCCCCAGAATTTTTTTCACACAACACATAAGCAAATAAATCTTCCACCTATCCTACATTTCCATACTTTAATTAAATCTTATTCAAGAATTTGTATTCTTCACAGCTTACATTAGGATATATATTTGATTGTCATTGAGTTGTCAGGATACAACTGACAATAAACCCATATACTATCCCCTAACAACTTTTATTCCCACACTCAGGCAGGAAAAGTCTGCAAATAATACCATCAGCAGCAGGAGCACTCTGGTCTGAGAGCCTTCCTAGAGAATACACCAGATGACAGGCAAATCCAGCTTCATTATTTTACTATCATCTTTCTTACTTTTGTGAAAGAGAACCACTCCGTATTTGAAATAATATAAGGAGAAATTTAAAAACCATTTGTAGGAACATCCAAAACACCCTAGACATGTTTCTTTTTTTCTAGAAATCAGTAATTAGAAATCTGAGAAAATACATTTCTACTTGTAAGAGGTTTTAAACATCTATTGCTGGTTAGCAATAGATGTTATAAGCATTGGTTATTAAGTAATTAGTAAATATTTAGTAATTTAGCACATTAAATTTGTTGGTGACATTTTTGGGTTTTGTGTTTTGGCCTAGAATAACTTGGATAAAAGTCTCCTGTGTTTTCAAAGTATAAATGCACCAGGTCATCTCTACCTATTACATATTCCCAAAGTTGTCACCATACTACTAGGTTGGTAGAATGGATCCCTTTATTAAAATACAAGCTATTCAGATTGGATTTTTAAAAAGACCCAACAATATGTTGTTTGCAAGAGACTCACCTTATAGACAAGACATCCAAAGACTGAAGGTTGAAAGGATGAGAAAAATAATATAGCATGCAAATAGTACCATAACAAGTAGCTATTCTCTTATCAGACAAAGCTATTCTCATATCAGACAAAGTAGACTTCAAGCCAAAATTAATCAAAAGAGACAAAAAAGGTTACTTCATACTAGTTAAGGGAATCATTCAATAAGAAGATATAATGATTTAAAATATTTATGCCCCAAACAATGGTGCACCTACATATATAAAACAAACCTTATCAATATTAAAAATCAAATAGACTATAATAAAAATTGGGAAAAAAACAGATAATACCTTGAATCCTATCAGATCATAATGGAGTGAAATTAGAAAGGACAATATATAAAACAGAAACTACTCTAACACCTAGAGATTAGATAATACACTTTTGAATGACAAATGGATAACAGAAGAAATCAGTAGAAATAAAAAAATTCTAACAAATAAGAATAATGATAAATAAAAATAAATAAAAACCTCTGGGGCAGTATGAAAGCACATCTAAGAGGAAAGTTCAGCACTGAGCTCATACCTTAAAATAATAGAAAGATCCAAATAAATAATCTAACATTATACCTCAAGGTCCTAGAAAAAGAAGATCAAACTAACACCAAAATCAGGAAAATACAGGGAGTTATTAAAATCAGAGCTGATATCAATGAAGTTCAGAATTAAAAAAAACAATACAAAGGATCAATGAAAAAAAGAGTTGGTTCTTGAAATGATAAACAATATCAATAAACCTTTAGTGAAACTAACCAAACCAAAGAGAGAAAACTCAAATGAACAAATTATAGATGAAAAATGAAATATCACAATATACACTACAGAAATCCAGAGGATCATTAGAAACTATTTGGAAATTTATATTCTAATAAACTGGAAATGTTGAAGATATTGGCAAATTCCTAGAAACATATTTCCTGCCCAAATTGAACCACAAGGATATGGAAAACTTAAACAGATCAATATTAAGTAATGAAATTAAAGCAGCCATCAAAAGCTTTCCAACAAAGAAAAACCCAGGACCAGACAGATTCTCACCTGAGTTCTACCAAACTTTCAGAGAACTAATACCAATTCTCCTCAAATTATTCCACAAAATAGAAAAGGAGGAAACTCTTCCAAACTCATTCAATGAAGCCAGTATCACCCTGACACCAAAACCAGACAAAGATATCAAGGAAAGAAAACTTCAGACCAATATCCTTGATGAACATAGTAGCAAAAATTCTTAATAAGGGACTGGGGGTTGTAGCTCAATGGTAGAGCAGTAGCACGTTTGAGGCACTGGGTTTGATCCTCAACACCACATAAAAATAAATAATTAAAAGAAAGGTATTATGCCCATCTACAGCTAAAAAAATTTTTAAAAATTCTTAATAAAATATTGGCAGACTGCATACAAAAAAGCACATTAAAGATATAGTGTATCATGATCAAGTGGGTTTCATCTCAGGGATGCAAGGTTGGTTTGGCCTACAGAAATCACACAAAATAATTCAACATATAAGTAGAGTTAAAAGACAAGAATCATATGATTATCCCAATAGATTCAGGAAAAAGCATTTGACAAAGTGCAGCACCCATTCATGTTTAAAATAGTGGAGAAACTAGGGATAGAAGGAACTTACCTCAACACTGTAAAGGCTATATATGACAAAGCTAAGGCCAACATCATACTGAATGGGGAAAAACCTCTTCCTCCAAAAACAAGCAAGTATGTCCACTGTCACCACTTCTGTTCAACATATTCCTTGAAACTCTACCCAGAGTATCAGGCAAGAGAAGGAAATTAAAGGAACACAAATAGAAAAAAGGGAGGTCAAATTGTTTCTGTTTACTGATAACATGATCCTATATTTAAAGGAACCAAAAAACTCCACCAGAAGACTTCTAGAGCTGATAAACAAATTTAATAAAGTATCAGGATACAAGATCAACACACATCAATCAGTCTCATTCCTATACTCCAATAATGAATCTGCTGAGAAAGAAATCAGGAAAATTACTGTTTTGGTCATCTTTTTCATGTATGACCAAAAAGACTTGACAAGAACAATATAGGAGGAAAGTTTATTTGTGGGCTCATGGATTCATAGGTCATAGTTCATAGATGTCCAACTCCATCATGGCAGAAGAATGAGGCAGAGAAAAGCAGCTCAGGACATGGACAATCAGGAAGGAGAGAGAGAGAGAGAGAGAGAGAGAGAGAGAGAGAGAGAGAGAGAGAGAGAGAGAGAGAGAGAGAGAGAGATCTGTTCAAAAAGGACAGAGTATATACCCCAAAGACACACCCCTAGGAACCCACTCCTCCAGCCATATCCTACCTGCCTATAGTCACCACCCAGTTAATCCTTATCAGGGAATTAATGCACTGATTAGGTTAAGATTCTCATAACCCATTTTCATCTCTAAATTTACTTGCAGTATTTCACACATAAGCTTTTGGAAGACTCATAATATCTAAACCATAATAACAATACCTTTTACAATAATTTAAAAATAAAATACCTACAAATTAATCTAACAAAGGAGGTGAAGGACCTCTACAATGAAATCCATAGAATGACACAAAAGAAAGAAATTAATGAACACTTAGAAGATGGAAAGATCTCCCATGTTCTTGGATAGGCAAAATTAATATTGTCAAAATGCATTACACAGATAAAGTGCAATCCCCACCAAAATACCAATGACATTTTTTAC